CTATAAAAGTGCTTTCCTCTCAATCTTAAATAAACATGCCCCATTCAAAAAATACAGAACTAAGAACAGATATAGCCCCTGGTTCTCCTCAGACTTGACTGCCCTTGACCAGCACAAAAACATCCTGTGGCGTACTGCATTAGCATCAAATAGCCCCCGCGATATGCAACTTTTCAGGGAAGTTAGGAACCAATATACACAAGCAGTCAGGAAAGCAAAGGCTAACTTTTTCAAACAGAAATTTGCATCCTGTAGCACTAACTCCAAAAAGTTTTGGGACACTGTAAAGTCCATGGAGAATAAGAGCACTTCCTCCCAGCTGTCCACTGCACTGAGGCTAGGAAACACTATCACCACCGATAAATCTACAATAATGAGAATTTCAACAAGCATTTTGCTACGGCTGGCCATGCTTTCCACCTGGCTACCACTACCCCGGCCACCAACTCTGCAACTTGCCCATGCCCCCCCCCCGCTTCTCCTTCACACAAATTCAGACAGCTGATGTTCTGAAAGAGCTGCAAAATCTGGACCCCTACAAATCATCTGGGCTAGACAATCTGGACCCTTTCTTTCTAAAACTAGCCGCCGAAATTGTCGCAACCCCTATTACTAGCCTGTTCAAACTCTCTTTCGTAACGTCTGAGATCCCCAGAGATTGGAAAGCTGCCGCGGTCATCCCCCTCTTCAAAGGGAGTGACACTCTAGATCCAAACTGTTACAGACCTATATCCATCCTGCCCTGCCTTTCGAAAGTATTTGAAAGCCAAGTTAACAAACAGATCACCGACCATTTGGAATCCCACCGTACCTTCTCCGCTATGCAATCCGGTTTCCGAGCTGGTCATGGGTGCACTTCAGCCACGCTCAAGGTCCTAAACGATATTATAACCGCGATCGATAATAGACAGTACTGTGCAGCCGTCTTCATCGACCTGGCCAAGGCTTTCGACTGTAAACCACCGCATTCTTATTGGCAGACTAAATAGCCTTGGTTTCTCAAATGACTGCCTCGCCTGGTTCACCAACTACTTCTCAGATAGAGTTCAATGTGTCAAATCGGAGGGCCTGTTGTCTGGACCTATGGCAGTCTCTATGGGGGTGCCACAGGGTTCAATTCTTGGGCCGACTCTTTTCTCTGTGTATATCAATGATGTCGCTCTTGCTGCTGGTGACTCTCAGATCCACCTCTACGCAGACGACACTATTTTGTATACATCTGGCCCTTCATTGGACACTGTGTTAACAAACCTCCAAACGAGCTTCAATGCCATACAACACTCCTTCAGTAGCCTCCAACTGCTCTTAAACACTAGTAAAACTAAATGCATGCTCTTCAATCGAACGCTGCTGGCACCCGCCCACCCGACTAGAATCAATACTCTCGACGGGTCTGACCTAGAGTATGTGGACAACTACAAATACCTAGGTGTCTGGCTAGACTGTAAACTCTCCTTCCAGACTCACATTAAGAATCTCCAATCCAAAGTTAAATCTAGAATCGGTTTCCTATTTCGCAACAAAGCCTCCTTCACTCATGCTGCCAAACATGCCCTCGTAAAACTGACTATCCTACCGACCCTTGACTTCGGCGATGTCATTTACAAAATAGCCTCCAACACTCTACTCAGCAAATTGGATGTAGTCTATCACAGTGCCATCCGTTTTGTCTCCAAAGCCCCATACACTACCCACCACTGTGACCTGTACGCTCTTGTTGGCTGGTCCTCACTACATATTCGTCGCCAAACCCACTGGCTCCAGGCCATCTATAAATCACTGCTAGGCAAATCCCCGCCTTATCTTAGCTCATTGGTCACCATAGCAGCACCCACCCGTAGTCTGCGCTCCAGCAGGTATATCTCACTGGTCATCCCCAAAGCCAACACCTCCTTTGGCCGCCATTCCTTCCAGTTCTCTGCTGCAAATGACTGGAACGAATTGCAAAAATCTCTGAAGCTGTAGACTCTTATCTCCCTCACTAACTTTAAGCATCAGTTGTCAGAGCACATTACCTCAACTAGCCGGTGCCCCCGCACATTGACTATGCAACGGTACCCCCCTGTATATATAGCCTCCCTACTGTCACTTTATTCTATTGTATATATAGCCTCCCTACTGTCACTTTATTTTTTACTTCTGCTCTTTTTTTTCTCAACACTTTTTTGTTGTTGTTTTATTCTTACTTTTTTTGTTTAAAATAAATGCACTGTTGGTTAAGGGCTGTAAGTAAGCATTTCACTGTAATGTCTGCACCTGTTGTATTCGGCGCATGTGACCAATAAAATTTGATTTGATTTGATTTGATTTGATTACCGATCACTGTACCTGTACACAGCCCATCTGAAATTAGCCCACCCAACTACCTCATCCTTATATTGTTATTTATTTTTGCTCTTTTGCACCCCAGTATCTCTATTTGCACATAATCTCTTGCACATCTAGCATTCCAGTGTTAATACTAATTGTAATTATTTTGCACTATAGCCTATTTATTGCCTTACCTCCATAACTTACTACATTTGCACACACTGTATATATATTTTCTGTTGTATTTTGTGACTTTATGTTTTGTTTACCCCATATGTAACTCTGTGTTGTTGTTTTTTTTCGCACTGCTTTGCTTTATCTTGGCCAGGTCGCAGTTGTAAATGAGAACTTCTTCTCAACTGGCTTACCTGGTTAAATAAAGGTTAAATAAAAATAAAATAAATAAAAGGTCAAGAAGATGGTTCTGAGAGAGATAACGAGAAAGTTGATCAGAGACAGTACGCTCAAGTGTTTTGGTACCAGTCTGAAGTTTTTGAGGTCAGAGGGGTTGAGTGTTGGTTTCTTGAGGAAGGGCGCGACTCTGGCCATTTTGAAGTCAGCAAAACAAATCAGCTAATACTCTGGACTACACCATCTACAACAACAACCACAACAAATCAGCCTGATACTCTGGACTAAACCATCTACAACAACAACCACAACAAATCAGCCTGATACTCTGGACTACACCATCTACTACAACAGCAACATCCTGATACTCTGGGGTACACCATCTACAACAACAAAATCAGCCTGTTACTCTGGCCTACACCGTCTAAAACAAAACAACAACTCAGCCTGATACTCTGGACTAAACCATCTACAACAACAACAACAACTCAGCCTGATACTCTGGACTAAACCATCTACAACAACAACAACAACTCAGCCTGATACTCTGGACTAAACCATCTACAACAACAACAACTCAGCCTGATACTCTGGACTAAACCATCTACAACAACAACAACTCAGCCTGATACTCTGGACTAAACCATCTACAACAACAAATCTGAGGAATATTTCAGTCTGTAATAAAGCCCTTTTTTAATATATTTTTAAAATATTATATATATCACAGGAAAGTATTCTGACCCCTTGACCTTTTGACCTTTTCCACATTTTGTTACCTTACAGCCTTATTCTAAAATTGATTAAATATATTTTTTCCCTCATCAAATCTACACACAATACCCCATAAAGACGAAGCAAAAACAGGTTTTTAGAAATGTTTGCAAATGTATAAAAAAAAAAAACAGAAATACCTTATTTACATAAGTATTCAGACCCTTTGCTATGAGACTCGGAATTGAGCTCAGGTGCATCCTGTTTCCATTGATCATCCTTGAGATGTTTCTACAACTTGATTGGAGTCCACCTGTGGTAAATTCAATTGATTGGACATGATTTGGAAAGGCACACATCTGTCTATATAAGGTCCTACAGTTGACAGTGCATGTCAGAGCAAAAACCAAGCCATGAGGTCGAAGGAATTGTCCTTAGAGCTCCGAGACAGGATTGTGTCGAGGCACAGATCTGGGAAAGGGTACCAAAACATTTCTGCAGCATTGAAGGTCCCCAAGAACACAGTGGCCTCCATCATTCTTAAATGGCAGAAGTTTGGAACCACCAAGACTCTTCCTAGAGCTGGCCGCCCGGCCAAACTGAGCAATCGGGGGAGAAGGGCCTTGGTGGTCCAGAGTTCTTCTGTGGAGATGGGAAAACCTTCCAGAAGGACAACCACCTCTGCAGCACTCCACCAATCAGGCCTTTATGATAGAGTGGCCAGATGGAAACCTCTCCTCAGTAAAAGGCACATGACAGCCCGCTTGGAGTTTGCCAAAAGGCACCTAAAGGACTCTCAGCCCATGAGAAACAAGATTCTCTGGTCTGATAAAACCAAGATTGAACTCTTTGGCCTGAATGCTAAGCGTCACGTCTGGTGGAAACCTGGCATCATCCCTACGGTGAAGCATGGTGGTGGCAGCATCATGCTGTGGGGATGTTTTTCAGCGGCAGGGACCGTGAGACTAGTCAGGCTTGATGGAAAGATGAACGGAGCCAAGTACAGAGAGATCCTTGATGAAAACCTGCTCCAGAGTGCTCAGGACCTCAGACTGGGGCGAAGGTTCACCTTCCAACAGGACAATGACCCTAAGCACACAGCCAAGTCAACGCAGGAGTGGCATTGGGACAAGTCTCTGAATGTCCTTCAGTGGCCCAGCCAGAGCCCAGACTTGAACCCGATCAAACATCTCTGGAGAGACATGAAAATAGCTGTGAAGAATGGGAGAAACTCACCAAATACTGGTGAGCCAAGCTTGTAGCGTCATACCCAAGAAGACTCAAGGCTTTAATTGCTGCCAAAGGTGCTTCAACAAAAGTACTGATTAAAGGGTCACAATACTTATGTAAATGTGATTTCCTTTTTTATAGAATTGTTTTGTTTGTAAAAAAAATAATAATCTAAAAACCTGTTTTGCTTTGTCATTATGGGGTATTGTGTGTAGATTGATGAGGGGAAAAAAAACTATTTAAGCATGACATAATACATAGGGGATGTTGTCCATGGACCTCACCGTGTGCTCAATACCACTGTACTCTCCCTCAGTGTTCTCTCTGATGGTGACCAGGTCCACGTCGTTGTAGGGGGTCTTGTAGCCCTCGATGGACATGCAGGGACGCACGTTGGCATACAGGTCAAAGGTCTTCCTCAGCAGCAGGTTCATTGAGGGGTGGCCGGCCGCGATGGGCGTCTTCAGAGGGCCTGCGGGTCAACTAGAGGTCAAACACCTGGCACCTGACCACCAGGGATGCACCCTATTCCCTATATAGTGCACTAGTGTTGACCAGGGCTTCCCTATATAGTGCACTAGTGTTGACCAGGGCTTCCCTATATAGTGCACTAGTGTTGACCAGGGCTTCCCTATATAGTGCACTAGTGTTGACCAGGGCTTCCCTATATAGTGCACTAGTGTTGACCAGGGCTTCCCTATATAGTGCACTAGTGTTGACCAGGGCTTCCCTATATAGTGCACTAGTTTTGACCAGGGCTTCCCTATATAGTGCACTAGTGTTGACCAGGGCTTTCCTATATAGTTCACTAGTGTTGACCAGGGCTTCCCTATATAGTGCACTAGTGTTGACCAGGGCTTCCCTATATAGTGCACTAGTGTTGACCAGGGCTTCCCTATATAGTGCACTAGTGTTGACCAGGGCTTCCCTATATAGTGCACTAGTGTTGACCAGGGCTTCCCTATATAGTGCACTAGTGTTGACCAGGGCTTCCCTATATAGTGCACTAGTTTTGACCAGGGCTTCCCTATATAGTGCACTAGTGTTGACCAGGGCTTCCCTATATAGTGCACTAGTTGTGACCAGGGCTTCCCTATATAGTGCACTAGTTTTGACCAGGGCTTCCCTATATAGTGCACTAGTTTTGACCAGGGCTTCCCTATATAGTGCACTAGTGTTGACCAGGGCTTCCCTATATAGTGCACTAGTGTTGACCAGGGCTTCCCTATATAGTGCACTAGTGTTGACCAGGGCTTCCCTATATAGTACACTAGTGTTGACCAGGGCTTCCCTATATAGTGCACTATTGTTGACCAGGGATTCCCTATATAGTGCACTAGTTGTAACCAGGGCTTCCCTATATAGTGCACTAGTTTTGACCAGGGCTTCCCTATATAGTGCACTAGTGTTGACCAGGTCTTCCCTATATAGTGCACTAGTTTTGACCAGGGCTTCCCTATATAGTGCACTAGTGTTGACCAGGGCTTCCCTATATAGTGCACTAGTTGTGACCAGGGCTTCCCTATATAGTGCACTAGTTTTGACCAGGGCTTCCCTATATAGTGCACTAGTTTTGACCAGGGCTTCCTATATAGTGCACTAGTGTTGACCAGGGCTTCCCTATATAGTGCACTAGTGTTGACCAGGGCTTCCCTATATAGTGCACTAGTGTTGACCAGGGCTTCCCTATATAGTACACTAGTGTTGACCAGGGCTTCCCTATATAGTGCACTAGTGTTGACCAGGGATTCCCTATATAGTGCACTAGTTGTAACCAGGGCTTCCCTATATAGTGCACTAGTGTTGACCAGGGCTTCCCTATATAGTGCACTAGTGTTGACCAGGGCTTCCCTATATAGTGCACTAGTGTTGACCAGGGCTTCCCTATATAGTGCACTAGTTGTGACCAGGGCTTCCCTATATAGTGCACTAGTTTTGACCAGGGCTTCCCTATATAGTGCACTAGTGTTGACCAGGGCTTCCCTATATAGTGCACTAGTGTTGACCAGGGCTTCCCTATATAGTGCACTAGTTGTGACCAGGGCTTCCCTATATAGTGCACTAGTTTTGACCAGGGCTTCCCTATATAGTGCACTAGTGTTGACCAGGGCTTCCCTATATAGTGCACTAGTTTTGACCAGGGCTTCCCTATATAGTGCACTAGTGTTGACCAGGGCTTCCCTATATAGTGCACTAGTGTTGACCAGGGCTTCCCTATATAGTGCACTAGTTGTGACCAGGGATTCCCTATATAGTGCACTAGTTTTGACCAGGGCTTCCCTATATAGTGCACTAGTGTTGACCAGGGCTTCCCTATATAGTGCACTAGTGTTTACCAGGGCTTCCCTATATAGTGCAATAGTTGTGACCAGGGCTTCCCTATATAGTGCACTAGTTTTGACCAGGGCTTCCCTATATAGTGCACTAGTGTTGTCACGATACCAGAATTTTGAATCAGGTTTAGTATCACGATACTCTATACCATCACAATATTAAAAATACCAAAACGATACCAAAACGATACCAAAACTAAAAAAAGGCGTCTTAGCCAGTGACTTGATCTAGACTGATACACCCAGTTACTGCTCTGTTCAATCAATGGGGATCTTTTCAGTTCAATATCATTACATTTGAACATTTCTATGTAAAAAAAACAGCCATGTATGCATTGATGAATCAATCTTACAATCAATTTGACTTGTTTGTTTTACCAATCAAAACTACATAACATAATGGTAATCATTTATTTGAATGGTAAATCTCTATTGATAAACTGGGTAAATCAGGAAGTAGCCTAGGTCCACAATACAGGTGAATGTAATTCAATAGGAGTGTGGATGCATTGCGTTATAGAGCTTGTTATGGCTGATTTCAGATGACAAACAATCCCAGCCAATCAGAACTGGCAGGAGAACATATTATTTTAATGTACTGATCAGCAACATTTGCATAATTATTACCTCAATTACCTCGACTAACCGGTGCCCCGCATATTGACTCTGTTCCGGTACCCCTGTATATAGCCTCCCTACTGTTATTTCACATTGACTCTGTACCGGTACCCCCTGTATATAGCCTCCCTACTGTTATTTCCCATTGACTCTGTACCGGTACCCGCTGTATATAGCCTCCCTACTGTTATTACACATTGACTCTGTACCGGTACCCCCTGTATATAGCCTCCCTACTGTTATTTCCCATTGACTCTGTACCGGTACCCCCTGTATATAGCCTCCCTACTGTTATTTCCCATTGACTCTGTACCGGTACCCCCTGTATATAGCCTCCCTACTGTTATTTCCCATTGACTCTGTACCGGTACCCCCTGTATATAGCCTCCCTACTGTTATTTCCCATTGACTCTGTACCGGTACCCCCTGTATATAGCCTCCCTACTGTTATTTCACATTGACTCTGTACCGGTACCCCCCTGTATATAGCCTCCCTACTGTTATTACACATTGACTCTGTACCGGTACCCCCTGTATATAGCCTCCCTACTGTTATTACACATTGACTCTGTACCGGTGCCCCCTGTATATAGCCTCCCTACTGTTATTTTATTTTACTGCTGCTCTTTAATTATTTCCTATTTTTTACTTAACACTTTTTTATATTTTCTTAAAAACTGCATTGTTGGTTAAGGGCTTGTCAGTAAGCATTTCACTGTAATGTCTACACCTGTTGTATTCGGCGCATGTGTCAAATAAAATTAGATTAGATTTGATTTGAAGAAGCAATCTCTTAATTTAAAAAAAGGGGGTGCTCTCTTTAAGAAACTAATGATGTCATTCACAAGAACCTGACTTTGTGATTATGGAATCTAGAGAATTCGTTTTTGGTGGCGAGGGAGACGAAGTGAATGAATAAAGTTTTTGGTGACAATCAGCTTTGAAATCAGCATATTTTGCGTTATGGTTTGCATATCACAAACAAAGTACTAGGGTAGTGAATTCTGCTGTCAGCTAGCAAGCAGGAACGCTAGCAGGAAAGTTAGCCTAAAATTAAAGATGGAAGCTACCGGTATCGTCTTGTAAAGGTGTTCTAGCCTGTATGGGGTTAGGGTTAGGGTTAGGGTTACACATCCTAGTTGGAGGGGTGCTCTCATCGTATCTACCAGGGCTCTAACTCCTCTAGCTCCCCAATGAGACAGGGTGCAGGCCAGGCAGCAGGCTGTTAGCCTCCCCAATGAGACAGGGTGCAGGCCAGGCAGCAGGCTGTTAGCCTCCCCAATGAGACAGGGTGCAGGCCAGGCAGCAGGCTGTTAGCCTCCCCAATGAGACAGGGTGCAGGCCAGGCAGCAGGCTGTTAGCCTCCCCAATGAGACAGGGTGCAGGCCAGGCAGCAGGCTGTTAGCCTCCCCAATGAGACAGGGTGCAGGCCAGGCAGCAGGCTGTTAGCCAGCCCAATGAGACAGGGTGCAGGCCAGGCAGCAGGCTGTTAGCCTCCCCAATGAGACAGGGTGCAGGCCAGGCAGCAGGCTGTTAGCCTCCCCAATGAGACAGGGTGCAGGCCAGGCAGCAGGCTGTTAGCCTCCCCAATGAGACAGGGTGCAGGCCAGGCAGCAGGCTGTTAGCCTCCCCAATGAGACAGGGTGCAGGCCAGGCAGCAGGCTGTTAGCCTCCCCAATGAGACAGGGTGCAGGCCAGGCAGCAGGCTGTTAGCCTCCCCAATGAGACAGGGTGCAGGCCAGGCAGCAGGCTGTTAGCCTCCCCAATGAGACAGGGTGCAGGCCAGCAGCAGGCTGTTAGCCAGCCCAATGAGACAGGGTGCAGGCCAGCAGCAGGCTGTTAGCCAGCCCAATGAGACAGGGTGCAGGCCAGGCAGCAGGCTGTTAGCCAGCCCAATGAGACAGGGTGCAGGCCAGGCAGCAGGCTGTTAGCCTCCCCAATGAGACAGGGTGCAGGCCAGGCAGCAGGCTGTTAGCCAGCCCAATGAGACAGGGTGCAGGCCAGGCAGCAGGCTGTTAGCCAGCCCAATGAGACAGGGTTGCAGGCCAGGCAGCAGGCTGTTAGCCTCCCCAATGAGACAGGGTGCAGGCCAGGCAGCAGGCTGTTAGCCAGCCCAATGAGACAGGGTGCAGGCCAGGCAGCAGGCTGTTAGCCTCCCCAATGAGACAGGGTGCAGGCCAGGCAGCAGGCTGTTAGCCTCCCCAATGAGACAGGGTGCAGGCCAGGCAGCAGGCTGTTAGCCTCCCCAATGAGACAGGGTGCAGGCCAGGCAGCAGGCTGTTAGCCAGCCCAATGAGACAGGGTGCAGGCCAGGCAGCAGGCTGTTAGCCTCCCCAATGAGACAGGGTGCAGGCCAGGCAGCAGGCTGTTAGCCTCCCCAATGAGACAGGGTGCAGGCCAGGCAGCAGGCTGTTAGCCTCCCCAATGAGACAGGGTGCAGGCCAGGCAGCAGGCTGTTAGCCTCCCCAATGAGACAGGGTGCAGGCCAGGCAGCAGGCTGTTAGCCTCCCCAATGAGACAGGGTGCAGGCCAGGCAGCAGGCTGTTAGCCAGCCCAATGAGACAGGGTGCAGGCCAGGCAGCAGGCTGTTAGCCTCCCCAATGAGACAGGGTGCAGGCCAGGCAGCAGGCTGTTAGCCTTCCCAATGAGACAGGGTGCAGGCCAGGCAGCAGGCTGTTAGCCAGCCCAATGAGACAGGGTGCAGGCCAGGCAGCAGGCTGTTAGCCTCCCCAATGAGACAGGGTGCAGGCCAGGCAGCAGGCTGTTAGCCTCCCCAATGAGACAGGGTGCAGGCCAGCAGCAGGCTGTTAGCCAGCCCAATGAGACAGGGTTGCAGGCCAGGCAGCAGGCTGTTAGCCAGCCCAATGAGACAGGGTGCAGGCCAGGCAGCAGGCTGTTAGCCTCCCCAATGAGACAGGGTGCAGGCCAGGCAGCAGGCTGTTAGCCAGCCCAATGAGACAGGGTGCAGGCCAGGCAGCAGGCTGTTAGCCTCCCCAATGAGACAGGGTGCAGGCCAGGCAGCAGGCTGTTAGCCAGCCCAATGAGACAGGGTGCAGGCCAGGCAGCAGGCTGTTAGCCAGCCCAATGAGACAGGGTGCAGGCCAGGCAGCAGGCTGTTAGCCTCCCCAATGAGACAGGGTGCAGGCCAGGCAGCAGGCTGTTAGCCAGCCCAATGAGACAGGGTGCAGGCCAGGCAGCAGGCTGTTAGCCAGCCCAATGAGACAGGGTGCAGGCCAGGCAGCAGGCTGTTAGCCAGCCCAATGAGACAGGGTGCAGGCCAGGCAGCAGGCTGTTAGCCTCCCCAATGAGACAGGGTGCAGGCCAGGCAGCAGGCTGTTAGCCTCCCCAATGAGACAGGGTGCAGGCCAGGCAGCAGGCTGTTAGCCAGCCCAATGAGACAGGGTGCAGGCCAGGCAGCAGGCTGTTAACCAGCCCAATGAGACAGGGTGCAGGCCAGGCAGCAGGCTGTTAGCCAGCCCAATGAGACAGGGTGCAGGCCAGGCAGCAGGCTGTTAGCCAGCCGGCCAGCTTAGTGGAGTCTGCCCCTAGCACAGTCAGTGTAGTCAGCTCAGCTTTCCCCATTGAGACCGTGTCTGTGCCTCGATCTAGGTTGAGCAAAACAATACATGGCGGTGTTCGCCTTCTCACTGGAATAAAGACCTCCTCCATTCATGTCATTATTGAAACAGATTGTGATATCTCACATCTGAAAATAGGGCTACCTAATGTTAGTAGTTGAGTAGGTATAGCAGTAGTTTGGGTATACTGTGCAACACCACAGTGTTGGCCCTGGTCTATATTGGGAACAGGAGGTCAGTTGGTACCTTTCAGGCCGATCTTGTTCTGGTCCATGGATTCTTTAGCTTCAGGAGGAATCATCCACTTCCCCCCCGGTCCCTTGATGGCTGTAACGTTCTTCTCCTCCCACTGGATAGGAGCCTGGGGGGGGGGGGGGGGGAGAGGAGAAAGAGAGAGAGAGAGAGAGAGAGAGAGAGAGAGAGAGAGAGAGAGAGAGAGAGAGAGAGAGAGAGAGAGAGAGAGAGAGAGAGAGAGAGAGAACTGAGAGCAAGGCCCAGACACTTACTACAGCATGTCATGGTCAGTATTAAGACAGAAATAGTCAAACATTGCTTCTTACTTTAGCTGCTTCAAATATCTTCATAACAGCAGCGGAGATCTCAGGACCGATCCCATCCCCCGGGATTAAAGTCACGGTCTGGATCTGTGAGAAGAAACGGAAACCCATTATGCTACTTCCAAGGACGTACAAATTGGCTTAGGTTATCTGTATACACAGGCCTACAACATTGTTCAAATAGACGGTTGTTGCCTCTCTGTAACACCTAGACAAGACAAACCATCCTGGGACAAAACGCTGTCCTGTAAAAGACACTCACACCCCTGGAGAAGGTTTTGGGTTGAGGGGTCTGGGTCTTCATGGCACCCATGACCCGTGACACCTACAGAAGGGGAAAGGGATAACAATCACAGTTACATCTTAGATACACAGTTCAAATACAAAGATGCTTGGTGGGTTAAATCAGTTAGCCTCTGTATTGAAGATAAACATTATAAAAGCCATCTGGCATGGACTAATACAGTATATCTGATGTTATCTTGTAAACAGAAGGCTGTGGAGTAAATGACTTGGGAACATGGATCATGTTAGGGGACGTGCAGAGATGGAAGGAGGTTAGGGTTAGGGTTAGAGAGAGGATCTATGGAGACAGTTGGTTGGGTGGGAGAGGGACAGCAGATCTGTGAAGGACATTTTGCAATAGAGGGGCCACGTCACTTTGCACCAAGAAGCAGGGCATTCGTTTCCCTAAATAGGCTAGCTAGCTACATCCAGGTCATTTCAAAATCAACTTGTTTAGAAGTTGGCCTATACAATAGCAGTTGGCCGGTTAATCAAGGATGACAATAACTACAATAACTCCCCAATCAGATTAATAAGTGAACGGCTGTGCTACCTTGACATTTAAAAGCCAGGGGCCTGAGCATTGGGCCTGAGGGGGTCTCAGAAAACATTTCCATTTCTTATCCAGAGCGACTTACAGTTTGTGAGTGCATTCATTTTCATACTGCCCCCCCGTGGGAAACGAACCCACAACCCTGGCGTTGCAAGCGCCATGCTCTACCCACTGAGCTACAGGGGATATACCAAGCCATACTGCTGCTCCCCATACTGAGGTGACCTTGTGGCCAGATTTGTACTGCAAATTGGAGCAAGCCAAGCCTACCCATCAATACTTAGCTAGCTAGCTATCAACAGAAGCAGTCCTCGCAAAATATCACATTTAGTAGCATTTATTTATAAAGACAATGTCCATTGCAGATTCGCTTTTTGGGAACTGGCAAGCAAGTGTTAGCAAGTTAGCTAACTTTGCTAGGGCAAGCTAGCTAACATTAGCTAGGTATCAATGTAAAGCTTACTTCATGAGACTTGGTAATGTTATTCTTGTCAGTGATCCGTAAACCCATTTTTTCCAGTAGGTTTAGTATCTGTAATGGGTTGTAAATGTAAGTAACGTTAGCTAGATAGTGCAAACTGACATTTAATCTCACTAGCTAGCAAGTCTCTCCTTTACTTCTATTGGATGGTTAGCAAGCTAACTACCTAGCTAGCAAACTACATCACACAAATGCACTTTTCTGTGTGACGTTTAGTTAGCTAAAAGTTAGACAAGTTACTCGTTAGTATTGTTATACCGTTGACGTATTAGCTAGCCAGCTAGTTCTCTAACATGCTATCAAAAAGCAGTTTAGCCAGTTGGTGGCTAGCTGTCGGAGGCAGTGGTGAAGGGCATTAACGACGTGCCCGTCTTGTCTGACTTTCTCTCAGCCACTCGACATTACAATATGTTATAAATGATATAGCTGGCTAGATTGTATAGTTGGTACAAATCCCTGCTTCTCAAAATACCAACAACTTGGAGCTTACCGTTGACCTCCATGCTCCAGCCATCCTTTCTGTCTGTTACGCACTATAGTGCTGCTGCCTGCCGACACTGGCAAGCAGAGCATCACCATCAACTGTTACAGAATACTGTTTTTCAAACAGGAGGCTACATATTGGTTTACAGTAAGTGGACACATTGTAATGCAATGCAATATGTATTCCACTTATTTAATGTAGCCAATAATGATGGACTGTTGTATTATTATATTGTATCTAATGTATCCCATCTCACTCCAACCAATGTCTTTCAAGTTCAGTGTCCAGCTGGATCCCAACTCAATAATGTTCTTCAATCTGGCAACATGGGACATGTAAGGGCATCACTAGGTAAGGCCTATTTAACTGCTGTCAATGCATTTTCTTCACACATAGGCCTCAATTATACACTGTACATGCCATTGAATATTGAGATAATTGTCATTTTTTTCTTATAAAAATAACAGGGGTATGAAAATTGAGAAACACCAGTATTCACCACAAGAGGGACAACTCAAATCAAATCAAAATGTATTGGTCACATGTGCCGAATAGAACAGGTGCAGACATTACAGTGAAATGCTTACTTACAGCCCTTAACCAACAGTGCATTTATTTTAAATAATAAAGTAGAATAAAACAACAAAAAAGTGTTGAGAAAAAAAGAGCAGAAGTAAAATAAAATAACAGTAGGGAGGCTATATATACAGGGGGGTACCGGTGCAGAGTCAATGTGCGGGGGCACCGGCTAGTTGAGGTAGTTGAGGTAATATGTACATGTGGGTAGAGTTAAAGTGACTATGCATAAATAATTAACAGAGTAGCAGCAGCATAAAAAGATGGGGTGGGGGGGCAGTGCAAATAGTCCGGGTAGCCATGATTAGCTGTTCAGGAGTCTTATGGCTTGGGGGTAGAAGATGTTGAGAAGTATTTTGGACCTAGACTTGGCACTCCGGTACCGCTTGCCGTGCGGTAGCAGAGAGAACAGTCTATGACTAGGGTGGCTGGAGTCTTTGAGAATTTTGAGGGCCTTCCTCTGACACCGCCTGGTATAGAGGTTCTGGATGGCAGGAAGCTTGGCCCCAGTGATGTACTGGGCCGTACGCACTACCCTCTGTAGTGCCTTGCGGTCAGAGGCCAAGCAGTTGCCATACCAGGCGGTGATGCAACCAGTCAGGATGCTCTCGATGGTGCAGCTGTAGAATATTTTGAGGATCTGAGGACCCATGCCAAATCTTTTCAGTCTCCTGAGGGGGAATAGGCTTTGTCGTGCCGTCTTCACGACTGTCTTGGTGTGTTTGGACCATGATAGTTCGTTGGTGATGTGGACATCAAGGAACTTGAAGCTCTCAACCTGCTCCACTACAGCCCCGTCGATGAGAATGGGGGCGTGCTCAGTCCTCTTTTTGTTCCTGTAGTCCACAATCATCTCCTTTGTCTTGGTCACGTTGAGGGAGAGGTTGTTATCCTGGCACCACACGGCCAGGTCTCTGACCTCCTCCCTATAGGCTGTCTCATCGTTGTCGGTGATCAGGCCTACCACTGTTGTGTCGTCGGCAAACTTAATGATGGTGTTGGAGTCGTGCCTGGCCATGCAGTCATGGGTGAACAGGGAGTACAGGAGGGGACTGAGCACGCACCCCTGAGGGGCCCCCGTGTTGAGGATCAGTGTGGCAGATGTGTTGTTACCTACCCTTACCACCTTGGGGCGGCCCGTCAGGAAGTCCAGGATCCAGTTGCAGAGGGAGGTGTTTAGTCCCAGGATCCTTAGCTTAGTGATGAGCTTTGAGGGCACTATGGTGTTGAATGCTGAGCTGTAGTCAATGAATAGCATTCTCACGTAGGTGTTCCTCTTGTCCAGGTGGGAAAGGGCAGTGTGGAGTGCAATAGAGATTGCGTCATCTGTGGATCTGTTGGGCGGTATTCAAATTGGAGTGGGTCTAGGGTTTCTGGGATAATGGTGTTGATGTGAGCCATGACCAGCCTTTCAAAGCACTTCATGGCTACAGACATCAGTGCTACGGGTCGGTAGTCATTTAGGCAGGTTATCTTAGAGTCCTTGGGCACGGGGACTATGGTGGTCTGCTTGAAACATGTTGGTATTACAGACTCAGTCAGGGACATGTTGAAAATGTCAGTGAAGACACTTGCCAGTTGGTCAGCACATGCTCGGAATACACGTCCTGGTAATCCGTCTGGCCCTGCGGCCATGTGAATGTTGACCTGCTTAAAAGTCTAACTCACATCGGCTACGGAGAGCGTGATCACATAGTCATCCGGAACAGCTGGTGCTCTCATGCAGGCTTCAGTGTTGCTTGCCTCGAAGCGAGCATAGAAGTGGTTTAGCTCGTCTGGAAGTCTTGTGTCACTGAGCAGCTCGCGGCTGTGCTTCCCTTTGTAGTCTGTAATAGTTTTCAAGCCCTGCCACATCCGACGAGCATCAGAGCCGGTGTAGTACGATTCAATCTTAGTCCTGTATTGACTCGTTGCCTGTTTGATGGTTCGTCGGAGGGCATAGCGGGATTTCTTATAAGCATCCGGGTTAGAGTCCCGCTCCTTGAAAGCGGCAGCTCTACCCTTTAGCTCAGTGCGGATGTTTCCTGTAATCCATGGCTTCTGGTTGGGGTATGTACGTACGGTCACTGTGGGGACGACATCATCGATGCACTTATTGATGAAGCCAGTGATTGATGTGGTGTACTCCTCAATGCTATCAGAAGAATCCCGGAACATATTCCAGTCCGTGCTAGCAAAACAGTCCTGTAGCTTAGCATCTGCATGATTTGACCACTTCCTTATTCACCGAGTCACTGGTGCTTCCTGCTTTAGTTTTTGCTTATAAGCAGGAATCAGGAGGATAGAGTTATGGTCAGATTTGCCAAATGGAGACGAGGGAGAGCTTTGTATGCGTCTCTGTGTGTGGAGTAAAGGTGGTCTAGAGTTGTTTTTCCTCTGGTTGCACATTTAACATGCTGGTAGAAATTAGGTAGATCGGATTTAAGTTTCCCTGCATTAAAGTCCCCGGCCACTACATTTACATTTACATTTACGTCATTTAGCAGACGCTCTTATCCAGAGCGACTTACAAATTGGTGCATTCACCTTATAGCCAGTGGGATAACCACTTTACAATAAAAACTAATATATATATAAAAATGTTTTGGGGGTGGGGTAAGGGGGGGGGGGGGGGTAGAAGGATTACTTATCCTATCCCAGGTGTTCCTTAAAGAGGTAGGGTTTCAAATGTCTCCGGAAGGTAGTGAGTGACTCCGCTGTCCTGGCGTCGTGAGGGAGCTTGTTCCACCATTGGGGTGCCAGAGCAGCGAACAGTTTTGACTGGGCTGAGCGGGAACTGTGCTTCCGAAGAGGTAGGGGAGCTAGCAGGCCAGAGGTGGATGAACGTAGTGCCCTCGTTTGGGTGTAGGGACTGATCAGAGCCTGAAGGTAAGGAGGTGCCGTTCCCCTCACAGCTCCGTAGGCAAGCACCATGGTGTTGTAGCAGATGCGAGCTTCAACTGGAAGCCAGTGGAGTGTGCAGAGGAGCGGGGTGACATGAGAGAACTTGGGAAGGTTGAACACCAGACGGGCTGCGGCATTCTGGATGAGTTGTAGGGGTTTAATGGCACAGGCAGGGAGCCCAGCCAATAGCGAGTTGCAGTAATCCAGACGGGAGATGACAAGTGCCGGTACAGGAGCGCTGCCTCTGGATGAGCGTTTTCCTGTTGACTTATGGCCTTATACAGCTCATTCAGTGCAATATTAATGCCAGCATTGGTTTGTGGTGGTAAATAGACGGCTATGAAAAATATAGATGAAAACTCTCTTGGTAAATAGTGTTGTCTACAGCTTGTCATGAGGTACTCTACCTCAGGCGAGCAAAACCTCGAGACTTCCTTAGTATTTGATTTTGTGCACCAGCTGTTGTTTACAAATATACACAGACCGCCACCCCTTGTCTTACCGGAGTCAGCCGTTCTATCCTGCCGATGTAGCGTATAGCCCGCTAGCTGTATGTTGTCCATGTCGTCGTTCAGCCACGACTCGGTGAAACATAAGATATTACAGTTTTAAATGTCCCGTTGGTAGGATAAGCTTGATCTTAGGTCATCTAATTTATTCTCCAATGATTGAAGATTGGCTAATAGGATTGATGGAAGAGGCAGTTTACTCGCTCGCCGTCGGATCCTTACAAGGCACCCCGACCTACATCCACGATATCTCTGTCTCTTTCTCATGCAAATGACAGGGATTTGGGCCTTGTCGGGTGTCTGTAGGATATCCTTCGCGGCCGCCTCGTTGAAGAAAGAATCTTCGTCCAATACGAGGTGAGTAATCGCTGTCCTGATATCCAGAAGCTCTTTTTAGTTATAAGAGACGATGGCAGAAACATTATGTACAAAATAAATTACAAATAACGCGGAAAACACACATAATAGTACAATTGGTTAGAGGGCTGTAAAACGGCAGCCATCTTCTCCTGAGCTAGTTAATCAGCATGCTGTAGCATCTAGCTGTGTGTGTGTGACAAGCTGACCTGTGAGTCAATCCCCAACAACAGCATCAATAAAAGGTCTGGAACAAAACCAGCAGTTATATCTGTTTATTAGTCATTTTAATAACAGATATAGTTTATTTTTCATGTACTGCCATTGTTGACCTTATTAATGGTATCAAAACAAGTAGAAACAACTCAATGAAACCAAGTAGCGCACACTTTAATTCATTACATAAGCAGCATTCCCAGTGTCAGCATAATAGAACATGGGACAAACCCTTCTCCATCAATGATCAAGACGCAGTGCAATATGGAAAAGCTTTGATAATGTCGCTAGGTTTACAAAATGTCCAAATGCTCTAGTAATAAGTGACTAAGTTGTATTGTAATAGCAGCATGACTCAGCATCACCAACGCACCGCACTGGGCATAGAGAGCTCAGCATCACCACCGCACCGCACTGGGCATAGAGAGCGCAGTAAACCCCAACGCACCGCACTGGGCATAGAGAGCGCAGTAAACACCTAGTGGCACCTGAGTGCTGTCAGTATGGATCCACGTCTGAACCCATTGTCTTACGTCAGGTGGCGTCACTCCTACGCAACGCTCGTCCCTCAACAGATGATAGGCGGAATCGTCACGCTATCTGACGTAAGACAATTGGTCTGAACCCACAGAGTTGGTTGGATCTGGAGCCTGTAGGCTACACAGGACTCAGGGTAGTGGTCTGTAGCCTCCAGGCTAGCCTGTACCCTCTGTAGGCTCCACAGGACTCAGGGGTAGTGGTCTGTGGCCTCCAGGCTAGCCTGTACCCTCTGTAGGCTCCACAGGACTCAGGGTAGTGGTCTGTAGCCTCCAGGCTAGCCTGTACCCTCTGTAGGCTCCACAGGACTCAGGGGTAGTGGTCTGTGGCCTCCAGGCTAACCTGTACCCTCTGTAGGCTCCACAGGACTCAGGGTAGTGGTCTGTAGCCTCCAGGCTAGCCTGTACCCTCTGTAGGCTACACAGGACTCAGGTTGGTAAGAAGTCTCTTCACAGGACTCAGGGGTAGTTAGGCTTCACAGGACTCAGGGGTAGTGGTCTGTAGCCTCCAGGCTAGCCTGTACCCTCTGTAGGCTCCACAGGACTCAGGGTAGTGGTCTGTAGCCTCCAGTCTAGCTAGCCTGTACCCTCTGTAGGCTCCACAGGACTCAGGGGTAGTGGTCTGTAGCCTCCAGTCTAGCCTGTACCCTCTGTAGGCTCCACAGGACTCAGGGTAGTGGTATGTAGCCTCCAGTCTAGCCTGTACCCTCTGTAGGCTCCACAGGACTCAGGGTAGTGGTATGTAGCCTCCAGGCTAGCCTGTACCCTCTGTAGGCTCCACAGGACTCAGTAGGTAGACTCAAGGGTTTAGAAGGCTCGATGTTGCCTACACAAGACTCAAGGGTTTAGAAGGCTCAATGTTGCCTACACAAGACAAGACTAAGGGTTTAGAAGGCTCAATGTTGCCCACACAAGACAAGACTCAAGGGTTTAGAAGGCTCGATGTTGCCTACACAAGACAAGACTCAAGGGTTTAGAAGGTTCGATGTTGCCTACACAAGACAAGACTAAGGGTTTAGAAGGCTCAATGTTGCCTACACAAGACAAGACTAAGGGTTTAGAAGGCTCAATGTTGCCCACACAAGACAAGACTCAAGGGTTTAGAAGGCTCGATGTTGCCTACACAAGACAAGACTAAGGGTTTAGAAGGCTCAATGTTGCCCACACAAGACAAGACTCAAGGGTTTAGAAGGCTCGATGTTGCCTACACAAGACAAGACTAAGGGTTTAGAAGGCTCAATGTTACCCACACAAGACAAGACTCAAGGGTTTAGAAGGCTCGATGTTGCCTACACAAGACAAGACTAAGGGTTTAGAAGGTTCGATGTTGCCTACACAAGACAAGACTAAGGGTTTAGAAGGCTCAATGTTGCCCACACAAGACAAGACTCAAGGGTTTAGAAGGCTCGATGTTGCCTACACAAGACAAGACTAAGGGTTTAGAAGGCTCAATGTTGCCCACACAAGACAAGACTCAAGGGTTTAGAAGGCTCGATGTTGCCTACACAAGACAAGACTAAGGGTTTAGAAGGCTCAATGTTGCCCACACAAGACAAGACTAAGGGTTTAGAAGGCTCGATGTTGCCTACACAAGACAAGACTCAAGGGTTTAGAAGGCTCAATGTTGCCTACACAAGACAAGACTACGGGTTTAGAAGGCTCAATGTTGCCCACACAAGACAAGACTCAAGGGTTTAGAAGGCTCAATGTTGCCTACACAAGACAAGACTCAAGGGTTTAGAAGGCTCGATGTTGCCTACACAAGACTCAAGGGTTTAGAAGGCTCAATGTTGCCTACACAAGACAAGACTCAAGGGTTTAGAAGGCTCAATGTTGCCCACACAAGACAAGAGTAACTCTGAGTATGTGAAGGTTCTGGCACGGGTGCTGGGTCAAGCATTCAGATATAAAACAACATCTTTAATACAAACACAACTATACATGAAGCCATGACATTGCTTCATGTAAGTAACACATATCACAAACACACTTCACAATCAATGTTGCCTGTTGTAAACAGCATTTAAATAGCGTACAGCTTTAGTGCCCATTTTAAACAGCATTTAAACAGCGTACTGCTTTAGTGCCCATTTTAAACAGCATTTAAACAGCGTACTGCTTTAGCGCCCATTTTAAACAGCATTTAAACAGCGTACTGCTTTAGTGCCCATTTTAAACAGCATTTAAACAGCGTACTGCTTTAGTGCCCATTTTAAACAGCATTTAAACAGCGTACTGCTTTAGTGCCCATTTTAAACAGCATTTAAACAGCATACTGCTTTAGTGCCCATTTTAAACAGCATTTAAACAGCGTACTGCTTTGGCTGGTTCTTGAGGCTCAGAGATCTCTCTGTCTGTGAGATCACATGTGCTGCTCTGTTGTTTAGCAGTCTGCATTCATGAAGCACATCTGTAGGGAGACCAGAATGATCAGATTGTTTAGTTAGTTAGTTACATTTTCTCCAAGATCGTCAAAACCTAAATCAGGCATCAGAGTCGTTCCGTGTCATTTCAGCAAGCCATGACACCCACCATATCAGATTGTTCTGAAATCATTTCTGTAGTTAGAAACAGATAAGATTAGCATTCCTGCAACATTATTTTGTTGGAATATAATTAGATCTCTGAGAAATTAAGCTAATTGATTGCACCCAAATTGGCCATTTTAATTTATAGGATTCATATAATATTCAATAAATATCATACCTAACATCCAATTTGGACCAAATATTTTTCTTACAATGAGTTAGACATGAGGAATCCAAAGTAAAGCCACCTAAGGACCCCCCCACATTCCACTCCAACACCACCCCAACAACGAGTATACAGTATCAGTTCTCTATGTCTGACAAGTAGTATAGTGGCTTGTGAAATTATTCACCCCCCTTGGTAAATTTTCCACCCCCAAAATTATTAATGCCCTCCTTGGACCTTGAGTTTTGGTGGGCGGCCCTCTCTTGGCAGGTTTGTTCTGGTGCCATATTCTTTCAATTTTTTAATAATGGATTTAATGGTGCTCCGTGGGATGTTCAAAGTTTCAGATATTTTTTTATAACCCAACCCTGATCTGTACTTCTCCACAACCTTGTCCCTGACCTGTTTGGAAAGCTCCTTGGTCTTCATGGTGCCGCTTGCTTGGTGGTGCCCCTTGCTTAGTGGTGTTGCAGACTCTGGGGCCTTTCAGAACAGGTGTATATATACTGAGATCATGTGACAGATCATGTGACACTTAGATTGCACACAAGTGGACTTTATTTAACTAATTATGTGACTTCTGAAGGTAATTGGTTGCACCAGATCTTATTTAGGGGCTTCATAGCAAAGGGGTGAATACATATGCACGCACCACTTTTCCGTTATTTATTTTTTAGAATTTGTTATTATTTTAATTTCACTTCACCAATTTGGACTATTTTGTGTATGTCCATTACATGAAATCCAAATAAAAATCAATTTAAATTACAGGTTGTAATGCAACAAAATTTAAAAAATGCCAAGGGGGATGAATACTTTTGCAAGGCACTGTATGGAGCTGCTGCTTGGAGTATTGTTTCTTCATCCTATGTAATGTATTCTCAGTGAATTTGGTGATGTTTTTTTCCCTCCGTTCAGAGAAATTAGTCATTGTAGTTGTACTGTTTCAAATGCTAACTTTTTTGCATTTGTGGCACAAATCCAATGCAAGTCAATGGTACCTACACTGAGTATACAAAACATTAAGAAGACCTGCTCTTTCCATGACATAGACTGACCAGGTGAATCCAGGTGAAAGCTCTGATCCCTTATTGCTGTCACCTGTTAAATCCAGTGAGTGACAGCTAACTTGGCTGCAAGTTGAGGACACACAGGCTACACCCCCTAACCCCTCAGCGCGCTGCTCCTAATCTGCAGCTGTTTTGCAGTGAGGACGTGCAGGGAGGTATTTTGCGAACATCTACTTAGGCATATTAAAACACTTAAGATGTTTCAGAGTATCATCCGATCCGACTATCAACTGTCAATTTACGGATACAATTAGGAATATGATATTGACCATGTCGGCACAGCCCTACTACAGAGGACCATGTTCTACAGAGGACCATGTTCTACAGAGGACCATGTTCTACAGAGGACCATGTTCTACACACCCCTAGTATTCACCCTCTGAATGGCACACATACACAATCCATGTCTCAACCTGTCTCCTCCCCTTCATCTACACCGATGAAGTGGATTTAACAGGTGACATCAATAAGGGATCATAGCTTTCACCTGGATTCACCTGGTCAGTCTGTCATGGAAAGAGCAGGTGTTCATAATGTTTTGTATGCTCAGTGTAGGTACCATTGACTTGCATTGGATTAGTGCCACAAATGCTAAAAAGTTAGCATTTGAAACAGTAAACAACTAAACCAAAGCATGGATTGCTGTCATACCTTGTCCATAGACTGCTGACAGGGTGAGGAAACCAACGTGTTTTTGTCATGTGGGTGAACTATCCCTTTAACATGGGGAGGGGGACAGCACCATCTAGCAGTCAGAACCTTGTAATATCAGGATGTAGGAATGGACATAAACCTAACAACTTCAATGACTAATTTCTCTGAACAGGGGAAAAAAAAAACATCACCAAATTCACTGAGAATACATTACATAGGATGAAGAAACAATACTCCAAGCAGCAGCTCCATATTATTACAAGGTTCTGACTGCTAGATGGTGCTGTCCCCCCCAATACATTACATTGGATGAAGAAACAATACTGCTGCTCTTTAATCATTTTTTTTTTTTTTTTTTTTTTTTTTCATTTTTGTAACTTATCATTTTTTTTACTCTAACTCATTGTTAGAAAAATGTTTGGTCCAAATTTGATGTTAGGTACTATATTTATTGAATATTATATGAATCCTATAAATTAAAATGGTGAATTTGGGTGCAATCAATTAGCTTAATTTTTCAGAGATCAAATAATATTTCAACAAAAGAATGTTGCAGGAATGCTAATCTTATCTGTTTCTAAAAACAGAAACAATTTCAGAACAATCTGAGATGGTGGGTGTCGAAATCCACTTTCTTGTGCTTTTTGAGGTGGAATGACCCATTAGGAAGATGGGAAGCTATTCAAACGTACATTATTGTATTAGTTCCAGTTAAGTACAGTCTATTTAATATTCATGTAACGTTAATGTATGTAACATTTATAATAACACATTATGGACGTATTCTCACCATTGAATTGTTTGTAGGCCTCGTCTATAATGGCGTTGTTGGATCTCTTGATCTCCCAGAAGTCGTTGTCGACCCAGGGCTTACAGTCAGGCAGCTCTGGTAGCTGGCCATTCCTATAGAAACCATCTGAACAGGGACATAAGAGGACATTCTGGGTCAAACACTATTTTACAGTTGTCAAATATACCTTCAGCAAAGACCATATGGTCACTCCATTTCAATACATTTGGCTGCTCAAAAGTCCAATCTAGTTCTTCTCTGTTCTGAAAATGTTAAATAGTTGCAAGCTAGTAAGAAATACCTTTGATAGTTTCATCAATGTCTTTGCATAATTGATATAAATCGCTCCCACGTCCAACCACTCTTTCACCTAAAACACAACAGTGAGCAGGACAGATCATTGTAACTTGACAAACACTGGACTTTAAAACCTCTATTGAAGCATGTTATTAATATAAATGTCTCACCATCCAACACTCTGATGTTAGGGAACATCTCCAGCAGAATGTTATTAATATAAATGTCTCACCATCCAACACTGATGTTAGGGAACATCTCCAGCAGAATGTTATTAATATAAATGTCTCACCATCCAACACTCTGATGTTAGGGAACATCTCCAGCAGAATGTTATTAATATAAATGTCTCACCATCCAACACTGATGTTAGGGAACATCTCCAGCAGAATGTTATTAATATAAATGTCTCACCATCCAACACTCTGATGTTAGGGAACATCTCCAGCAGAATGTTATTAATATAAATGTCTCACCATCCAACACTGATGTTAGGGAACATCTCCAGCAGAATGTTATTAATATAAATGTCTCACCATCCAACACTCTGATGTTAGGGAACATCTCCAGCAGAATGTTATTAATATAAATGTCTCACCATCCAACACTGATGTTAGGGAACATCTCCAGCAGAATGTTATTAATATAAATGTCTCACCATCCAACACTGATGTTAGGGAACATCTCCAGCAGAATGTTATTAATATAAATGTCTCACCATCCAACACTGATGTTAGGGAACATCTCCAGCAGAATGTTATTAATATAAATGTCTCACCATCCAACACTCTGATGTTAGGGAACATCTCCAGCAGAATGTTATTAATATAAATGTCTCACCATCCAACACTCTGATGTTAGGGAACATCTCCAGCAGAATGTTATTAATATAAATGTCTCACCATCCAACACTCTGATGTTAGGGAACATCTCCAGCAGAATGTTATTAATATAAATGTCTCACCATCCAACACTCTGATGTTAGGGAACATCTCCAGCAGAATGTTTCTGTACGATGAGTTCTTACAGACTGAAAAACAAAAACAACACATTATTAAACCATCTGTACTTCAAGCATTAGTCATTTAAAAAACAACAACAATGTAATGGATTTATTTTTATTTTTTTTATTTTATTTTTTTGGTCATTTAGCAGACGCTCTTATCCAGAGCGACTTACATGAGCAATTAGGGTTAAGTGCCTTGCTCAAGGGCACATCGACAGATTTTTCACCTAGTCGGCTTGGGGATTAGAACCAGCGACCTTTCAGTTACTGGCACAACGCTCTTAACCACTAAGCTACCTGCCGCCCCAGGTCGCGGAATGACTGACCTGGGTTGGTGTAGTTATAGGTGTTGTCTTTCAGGCGAATATTCTCCAGCTTCCTCAACGACTGAAGGCAGTGGATGTTGTCAATGCTGTTGATAATTAAAAACAGACAACTTTTAATACCTCAAACAGTCTCTAGACTGATCATTCTACAGTGAGAGGTTAAGACAATACATTTAGTTTATTTGCAAATGTAATGCATACAAATTATGTTTACCAGAGCATTCACATTTTAAGAATGTGCACATACACTGCTAACCCACTGCTAGCCCACTGCTAACCCACTGCTAACCCACTGCTAACCCACTGCTAGCCCACTGCTAACCCACTGCTAACCCACTGCTAACCCACTGCTAACCCACTGCTAACCCACTGCTAGCCCACTGCTAGCCCACTGCTAGCCCACTGCTAACCCACTGCTAACCCACTGCTAACCCACTGCTAAGACCTGTTATTAGATCTGTTATTAGACCTGTTATTAGACCTGTCCTGTTAATAGACCTGTTAATAGACCTGTTATTAGACCTGTTATTAGACCTGTTATTAGACCTGTTATTAGACCTGTTATTAGACCTGTTATTAGACCTGTTAATAGACCTGTTATTAGACCTGTTAATAGACCTGTTATTAGACCTGTTAATAGACCTGTTAATAGACCTGTTAATAGACCTGTTAATAGACCTGTTATTAGACCTGTCCTGTTATTAGACCTGTTAATAGACCTGTTAATAGACCTGTTAATAGACCTGTTATTAGACCTGTTAATAGACCTGTTATTAGACCTGTTAATAGACCTGTTAATAGACCTGTTATTAGACCTGTTATTAGACCTGTTAATAGACCTGTTAATAGACCTGTTAATATACCTGTTAATAGACCTGTTATTAGACCTGTTATTAGACCTGTTAATAGACCTGTTAATAGACCTGTCCTGTTATTAGACATGTTAATAGACCTGTTATTAGACCTGTTAATAGACCTGTTATTAGACCTGTTAATAGACCTGTTAATATACCTGTTAATATACCTGTTATTAGACCTGTTATTAGACCTGTTAATAGACCTGTTAATAGACCTGTTAATATACCTGTTATTAGACCTGTTATTAGACCTGTTAATAGACCTGTTAATAGACCTGTTAATAGACCTGTTATTAGACCTGTTAATAGACCTGTTAATAGACCTGTTATTAGACCTGTTATTAGACCTGTTAATAGACCTGTTAATAGACCTGTCCTGTTATTAGACATGTTAATAGACCTGTTATTATACCTGTTAATAGACCTGTTATTAGACCTGTTAATAGACCTGTTAATATACCTGTTAATAGACCTGTTATTAGACCTGTTATTAGACCTGTTAATAGACCTGTTAATAGACCTGTTATGAGACCTGTTTAATAGACCTGTTATAGATCCTGTTAATAGACCTGTTAATAGACCTGTTATTCGACCCTTTTAAGTAGACCTGTTAATAGACCTGTTAATAGACCTGTTAATAGACCTGTTAATTAGGACCTGTCCTGTTATTAGAACCTGTTTAAAGACCTGTTATAATAGACCTGTTAATAGACCTGTTAATAGACCTGTTATTAGACCTGTTACTATAGCCTGTTTATATTCCGACCTGTTATTAGACCTCCGTTAGTTAGACCTGTTTAATATACTTTTACCTGGTAATTAAGACCTGTTTTATTAGACCATGTTTATTAGGACCTGTTAATAGACCAGGTTAATAGGACCTGTCCTGTCATTAGACGTAATAGACCTGTAATTAGGACCTGTTATAGACCTGTTAATTAGACCCTGTTATTAGACCTGTTATATACTGTAAAGACCTGTTTAATATACCTTGTTAATAGACCTGTTATTAGACCTGTTAATAGACCTGTTAATAGACCTGTTAATAGACCTGTTAATAGACCTGTTAATAGACCTGTTATTAGACCTGTTATTAGACCTGTTATTAGACCTGTCCTGTTATTAGACCTGTTAATAGACCTGTTATTAGACCTGTTATTAGACCTGTCCTGTTATTAGACCTGTTATTAGACCTGTTATTAGACCTGTTAATAGAGCTGTTAATAGACCTGTTATTAGACCTGTTAATAGACCTGTTAATAGACCTGTCCTGTTATTAGACCTGTTATTAGACCTGTCCTGTTATTAGACCTGTTAATAGACCTGTTATTAGACCTGTTATTAGACCTGTTAATAGACCTGTTAATAGACCTGTTAATAGACCTGTTAATAGACCTGTTAATAGACCTGTTATTAGACATGTTATTAGACCTGTCCTGTTATTAGACCTGTTATTAGACCTGTTATTAGACCTGTTATTAGACCTGTCCTGTTATTAGACCTGTTATTAGACCTGTTATTAGACCTGTTAATAGAGCTGTTAATAGACCTGTTAATAGAGCTGTTAATAGACCTGTTAATAGACCTGTCCTGTTATTAGACCTGTTATTAGACCTGTCCTGTTATTAGACCTGTTAATCGACCTGTTATTAGACCTGTTAATAGACCTGTTATTAGTCCTGTTATTCGACCTGTCCTGTTATTAGACCTGTTAATAGACCTGTTAATAGACCTGTTAATAGACCTGTTATTAGACCTGTTATTAGACCTGTTAATAGACCTGTTATTAGACCTGTTAATAGACCTGTTAATAGACCTGTTAATAGACCTGTTAATAGACCTGTTATTAGACCTGTTAATAGACCTGTCCTGTTATTAGACCTGTTATTAGACATGTTAATAGACCTGTCCTGTTATTAGACATGTTATTAGACCTGTTATTAGACCTGTTAATAGACCTGTTAATAGACCTGTTAATATACCTGTTATTAGACCTGTTATTAGACCTGTTAATAGACCTGTTAATAGACCTGTTATTAGACCTGTTAATAGACCTGTCCTGTTATTAGACCTGTTATTAGACCTGTCCCGTTATTAGACCTGTTAATAGACCTGTTAATAGACCTGTTAATAGACCTGTTATTAGACCTGTTATTAGACCTGTTAATAGACCTGTTATTAGACCTGTTATTAGACCTGTTATTAGACCTGTTAATAGACCTGTTATTAGACCTGTTATTAGACCTGTTAATAGACCTGTTAATAGACCTGTTAATAGACCTGTTAATAGACCTGTCCTGTTATTAGACCTGTTATTAGACATGTTAATAGACCTGTTAATAGACCTGTTATTAGACCTGTTATTAGACCTGTTATTAGACCTGTTAATAGACCTGTTAATATACCTGTTAATAGACCTGTTAATAGACCTGTCCTGTTATTAGACCTGTTTATTAGACATGTTAATAGACCTGTTAATAGACCTGTTATTAGACCTGTTATTAGACCTGTTATTAGACCTGTTATTACACCTGTTATTAGACCTGTTAATAGACCTGTTAATAGACCTGTTAATAGACCTGTTAATAGACCTGTCCTGTTATTAGACCTGTTATTAGACATGTTAATAGACCTGTTAATAGACCTGTCCTGTTATTAGACCTGTTATTAGACATGTTATTAGACCTGTTAATAGACCTGTTATTAGACCTGTTATTAGACCTGTTAATAGACCTGTTAATAGACCTGTTAATAGACCTGTTAATAGACCTGTTAATAGACCTGTTAATAGACATGTTATTAGACCTGTTAATAGACCTGTTATTAGACCTGTCCTGTTATTAGACCTGTTATTAGACCTGTTAATAGACCTGTTAATAGACCTGTTAATAGACCTGTTATTAGACCTGTTATTAGACCTGTTAATAGACCTGTTATTAGACCAGTTAATAGACCTGTTAATAGACCTGTCCTGTTATTAGACCTGTTATTAGACCTGTCCCGTTATTAGACCTGTTAATAGACCTGTTAATAGACCTGTTAATAGACCTGTTATTATACCTGTTAATAGACCTGTTATTAGACCTGTTAATAGACCTGTTATTAGACCTGTTAATAGACCTGTTAATAGACCTGTTAATAGACCTGTTAATAGACCTGTTAATAGACCTGTCCTGTTATTAGACCTGTTATTAGACCTGTCCCGTTATTAGACCTGTTAATAGACCTGTTAATAGACCTGTTATTAGACCTGTTAATAGACCTGTTAATAGACCTGTTATTAGACCTGTTAATAGACCTGTTAATAGACCTGTTATTAGACCTGTTAATAGACCTGTCCTGTTATTAGACCTGTTATTAGACCTGTCCCGTTATTAGACCTGTTAATAGACCTGTTAATAGACCTGTTAATAGACCTGTTATTAGACCTGTTATTAGACCTGTTAATAGACCTGTTATTAGACCAGTTAATATACCTGTTAATAGACCTGTTATTAGACCTGTTAATAGACCTGTTAATATACCTGTTAATAGACATGTTATTAGACCTGTCCTGTTATTAGACCTGTTATTAGACATGTTATTAGACCTGTTATTAGACCTGTTAATAGACCTGTTAATAGACCTGTTAATAGACCTGTTATTAGACCTGCTAATAGACCTGTTATTAGACCAGTTAATAGACCTGTTAATAGACCTGTTATTAGACCTGTTAATAGACCTGTTAATAGACCTGTTATTAGACCTGTTATTAGACCTGTTAATAGACCTGTTATTAGACCTGTTAATAGACATGTTATTAGACCTGTCCTGTTATTCGACATGTTAATAGA